ATGGCGACGTCATGTATGCCGAAGCGGCAGGTCTGGAAGTGGCGCAGTGGTGTCGGGAGAGAGGGGTTGTCGTGTTGCAGTCGGAGCGGGTGTGTGCCCGGCCCGGAGAGCTTGTCGATTGACGCGGCCGTGTTGTGCTGCGACGAGAAGGAGAGGCGTCGTTGCAACCGGAACTGCGGAAAGTCGATCAAGCGGCAGGGCGCCTCGCCGACCGTCGCCGTCGCCGTCGCCGTTGACGTCGCCAAAGTCGACACCGACGTCGACGCCGCGACAGGGTTGTCGCGAGAGACTTGGCTGTAGGCCGTTGGGGGCGCAAGGTCAAGGGTTCGAGTCCGTGCGGAGGCGGGGCGGTGTGGCGCCGGAGGGTGGTGGTTGGCGAAGCGACGCGGCGAGTCGGTGCTGACGGCGAGGCTGTATGGGCGAGGCGAGCTCGAAGCGAGGCTGTCGATTGGACAGACGGGCGGCCAATCAGCGTGCACCTCGACCGGAGAAAGGGATCGACGCACTCGACTCACCTGCACCACCAGACCCAGCCGGGGTCGGAGTCGGGCTCGCGGGCGGGCACGGGCCCGGAGCCGGCAGGCAACCGTGTCCGAGCTCGTCCGCAGTCTGGCCGCCATTTCGGCCATTTGCATCAGCTTTCTGCAGCTGAAAAAAAACAAGAAAACACACACACACACACACACACAGATATATAGGGACAGACAGGCAGACAGAAAGAGTGTGTATGTCGAGGGGAGGGAAAGGGAGAAGTGTAGGAAAAGAGATTAGGCGACAGGCCGTGGGTTTTTATCGGGAAAAGTGAGAGACAATCGAGTGGGGGAGAGCAACGAATGAGACGACCGTCTTGTGGTCCGTTATCGGCGAATACTCGACGCCAAACACCGCTCAACACGTCAGCAGAATCTGTACCCTCGAACCGAACAAGTCCGATAAGGACTGAGCTGGAGTGGGCCGAGTTAACGTGACTTGAGTCGAATCGAGTGGAGTTGAGTTGAATAAGTTGACGTAGCGTGAAGTGAAGTGAAGTGAAATGATGAGTTGAGTT